GTGGGCTGCCTTTTCTTGGTTTTCATCGGGAGTGGCTGTCTTTATTCAGCTGGGCGTTTCCCTGTCGGTTCCCCCTCTCTGCTGGTTTGTTGCTGGGTGTCTGCTTGCTCATAGGTTCTGCTCTATTGGTTTTCAGTTGGATTTCCCGCTGGTGGTAACTTCCCCAGCTGGACCTTCAGCTGGTCTTCCAGCAGTCTTATTCCTTTGTATTTTCTTTACCTTATCTTGAAGGATTAAAGCCATCTTAGGCCTTTCCCCTCTTTTCCTTTTAGGCTTTGCTGCTTTGCTTCTTGTAATCAGTTTTTGTTTCAATGTTATTGGCTTTCTACAAAAAAAAAAAAAGGGTTTAGGGTTTAGGGTTTTAGGGTTTAGGGTTTAGGGTTTAGGGTTTTAGGGTTTTAGGGTTTAGGGTTTAGGGTTTAGGGTTTTAGGGTTTTAGGGTTTAGGGTTTAGGGCTTAGGGCTTAGGGCTTAGGGCTTAGTGTTTAGGGTTTAGGGTTTAGGAGAGAGGCAGTAATTTCATTCTGGAGAGAGAAGGTCTGACTTCTCTCTAGAAAATTTTTCATATTTTTCTCAGATCTTCTTTGGTCCTCATGAATTCTTCATTATTTCATTGGATTTCTTTTTAAATCTTAGTGGTTTTGATTGATCTAGCATGAATCTGGCCCAAGAACAGGATCAAATTCCCCCAAAACCTCCAGTGAAGTTCCATCTCCTATGAATTAATGATTAATCTTCTATCATGGAATATGAGAGGGGCAGGTAAGGATGCCAAGAGGAGGAGATTAAAAAAGCTTATTAAATTGCATGATGTTTGTCTTGTTGCAGTTCAGGAGCCTAAATTGCTGATTTCTAAATTGGTTCCTTTTGCTAGGAGTATTGGACTAGAACACTTCTGTTCTAATGCTCTTGCAGAAAGGAAAATTTGGATTTTATGGGATGAGAGAATCAAGTTAAGAATTTTATTTGAGCATGACCAAGTATTGACTGTGGAAATAACTTTTTTGAATTCAATTATCTTTTGGATCTCAATTGTATATGCTAGTTGTGATATTTTTACAAGAAGGCTTTTATGGGATCATCTGTTGGAAATTAATGTTCCTTTTGATGTTCCTTGGATGGTGGTTGGAGATTTCAATTCAATTCTATCTTCTGATGAAAGATTGGGGGGAGCCCCTCCTTCCATTTTGTCTATAGAGGATTTTGGTGACTTTTTGAATCACAGGGGTCTGTTGGATGCTGGTTTTGTGGGAAATAAATTTACCTGGTGTGATAATAGGAATGGAGGTATCAGAATGAAGGAGAGGTTGGACAGAGCTCTGATTAATGCTTGCTGGAATCTGGAATTTGATAGTATGGAAGTGGTTCATTTAGCAAGGGGCTCTTCTGATCATAGCCCTTTATTATTGAAAATTATGGATGCTCCTGTACAGAAAAGAATTTCCTATTTTAGATTTCAAGACATGTGGTGTGATCATGAGGGATTTCTTGATTTGATTAAAGCCAATTGGGGGGGGGGGACTATTCAGATAATCCAATGTCAAATTTGTTCATTAAGATGAAGTATTTGAAGGCTCATATGAAGATGTGGAATAAAAATGTGTTTGGCAATCTTTTTGACAAATTGAAAAATCTTGAACAAAAAATAAGTTTGGTGGAACAGGAGCTAGATCAAAATTTTTCTGATTCAAAAGCCATGGAATTAAAAGCTGTTAAAGATGAGATGGATGATTGGTTAAGAAGAGAGGAGACTTATTGGAAGCAAAAATCAAATATAAAATGGGCTATTCAGGGGGAGAGGAATACCAGATTTTATCATTCTATTGCTAAAAGTAGAGTGGTTAGAAATAAAGTTTCAAGAATTAAGAATAAAGAAGGAGTCTGGGTATATGGGGATAAGCAAGTGGCTGAGGTTGCTGAGGAATTTTATACTGATCTTTACAAGACTGAAAGGCATACCATCAATGACCAAATTGTTATTGATGTTATTCCTAAGCTCATCAGTCAAGAGGATAATGAGAGGTTTACAGCTGAAGCCACATTGGAAGAACTGAACGATGTTGTCTTTTCAATGGCAATTGAAAGTGCCCCTGGACCTGATGGTATGTCTGGTATGTTTTTTCAATTTGCCTGGGAAATTATTAAAGTGGATGTGGGCAGAGCTGTAAATTTTCTGCTAGTAGGAGGCTCAATGCCTAAGTCTGTGAATTCCACTTTATTAGTGTTGATTCCTAAGAAGGAAAATCCATGTTCATTTGCTGATTTCAGACCTATAAGCTTATGTAATTTCTTATATAAGATCTTTACAAAGCTTCTTAATACTAGACTGTCTTCTCTGCTTCCTGCTCTAATTTCTGAAGAACAACATGGTTTTGTTCATGGGAGAGGCATTGGAGATTGTGTGGCCTTGGGACAGTTGCTTGTTGGTGAGTTAGACAGAAAGGTTGAAGGTGGGAACATGGTTATGAAGTTAGATATGATGAAAGCATATGACAGGATGGAATGGAATTTTTTTGTTGAGGGTCCTGGTTAGCTTTGGCTTTTCTGATTTGTTCAATCAAATTATTTTGAATGTTTGAGTAGTCAATTCTTTACCATATGTTTAAATGGTCAAAGATATGGTTATTTTGCTAATTCAAGGGGACTAAGGCAGGGGGATCCTCTCTCCCCCACCTTATTCATCTTGGCTGAGGAAGTGCTGAGTAGAGGATTGAGAAGAATTTATAACCAGAATTTGGTGAAACATTTCCATATTGGGAGAGGAACAACAATAGTTAGCCACTTGTTATTTGCTGATGATACTCTGATCTTTTTAACAGGCAGTAAATCTTCTGTTCTCAATGTTTTGCAATTTATTGAGATGTATGAATCATGTTCTGGTCAGAAGGTTAACAAAATGAAAAGTGTTGTGTATTGTTCCAAGCTGATCTCTTTGTCAAGAAGAAATAGGCTGGCTTCTATAGTGGGGATTCCTTTTAAGGATTGTCCTTTTACCTACTTGGGTTGTCCTATTATCAGAGGAAGAATTAAGAAATGCTATTTTGAAGAGGTGGTGAACAGCTTCAGAAAAAGACTTGAGGGTTGGTACGCTAGAATTTTATCTGGAATGGGAAGAGTGGTATTAGTACAATCAGTACTCAGCTCAATTCCCATTCATATTTTGGCTTGCTTGAACATCCCAAAAGGTATTTTAAGTAAGCTGAATTCTCTTATTGCTGATTTTATTTGGTCTAATCAAATTGGTTCTAGGAGGAGACATTGGGTGTCACTCAATGATATTTCTAAATCCAGAATAGAAGGTGGTTTGGGGATTAGAAGTTTTGAAGAAGTTCAAATGGCATTCAGAATCAAACAGGTGTGGGGTATTTTAAAGGGTTCTTCTTTGTGGGCCAAAGTCTTTAAAGAGAAGTTTTTTCAGGGGAAGCATATGCTAAGATGTAGTAGCAGTGGTGCAGGTTTATCCTTTAATGTATTGAGGCCTTGGTTCAATTTCACAGTACAGAATTCCTTGAAAGTTGTTAGAAATGGTCACAACACTGATTTTTGGTGTGATTCATGGATGGAAACTGGCCCCCTGATTCTTAGAATGGAGAATCCTCCATTGATATTTCCCAAGATAAATGAATTATGGAATGGTGTGACATGGAAGCTCAATGAGGTTGCTGAATGGCTTAATCCTCAGTTATGTTCTGAAATTGAAAGTGTGGTTTTTGTGAGATCTGAGGAATCTGATAATCTTATTTGGAAGCATACTACTTTAGGTGAATTTACTGTTAAATCTGCTTGGAATCAGATTAGGAAAGTGGGGGACCACAATGATATTTGCTAAAGGCATATGGAAACAGAAAATTTTTCCTAGTGCTCAACTTTGCACTTGGAAAATTTTCAGAAAAGCATTGACCTCTGATGATAGAATTCAAGATGTGGGAGTGGCAATGGCCATTAAATGTGTCATATGTGGTGTGGCTGGGGAAAGTGCAGCTCATGTATTTATTGATTGCTCTTTAGCTCAAGCTGTCTGGAGTAAAGTTGCTGCAATTATGGAATTTGATGTTTTTTCAGGAGAGGCTCCTTTATGCAGATTCTTGAGACTGTTAAGAAGGTTTAAAGCTGCTTCTCTCAGTCATAATCTAATAAGAGGGGTAACTATGTTAATTTTTTGGGCTTTGTGGAAGGAGAGATGTAGGAGGAAATATGAGGGAGTATTTTTAAATGCCAATGCCATTTTCCAACAAATAGTGAGTTCTTTAAGATGGCAGGCTTTTCTTATCAGACCTAGATCAAATGATGATGGTAAGGGAAATGAGTTGTTGAGAGATTTGAGTATTAAAAATCCTTTTTCCTTAATCATCAAGGTTAAATGGGAACTTCCTCCTGAAAATGTGTTAAAGCTTAATGTTGATGGTGCTTCTAAGGGTAAGACTGGATTGTCAGGTGGTGGGATGGTATTGAGAGATCATGAAGGCAAAGTAATTGTTGCAGCTTCCTGTTTTTATGGTATTGGTTCAAATATGTTAGCTGAATGTATGACATTATTTGATGGTTTACTTCTGATTATGCAATATAGCCTGTCAACATCTCAGATTATGGTGGAAACTGATTCTTATACTTTAGTTCAAATGGTGAGAGGATTAGCTGATGTTCCATGGAAGATGCAATATCTGTTAGAAAGGATTAAGCTGTTGTTTAAATTTTTGAATTTGCAAATCAAGCACATTTATAGGGAAGCTAATGGTCTGGCTGACTTCTTAGCTTCCTTTGCTGTTAAATCAGAACAGAGCACTGAATTTTCTGCAAATAATATTCTGCCATCTATTGGGAGGGTTATAATGCAATAAGATTTATATGGATTTCCCTCTACCAGATTGAAGAGATTGATATGTGAACAAAGAGAAGGTATTGGTTAAGCTTCTGTGTATACAGTATGAACTGCCTAGAAGCTGGAAAGTTGCAGCAACTCTAGTAAATCTGTATTCAACTTGCTTCATTCTAAAAGGGCTTCTATTTTGGTTCTTCTGCTGGTCGGATCTGTGCTGATTCTAGCAATCCTCTGAGATGATTTATAAGAATCAAGAGCAGTTCTTCAGTATCTGTTGGTTGCTCCTTTTCCATTCTGCCTGGGCTATCTTCTGGACTTCTTCTGTGAGCTTTGGAGTATGGATGATCAGGTTTTCTGATGTCATCCTGTTCCCTTTTGCGTTTCATCTTGAAATGTTAAGAAGGATGCTGTTTCAGTACAGTTTTATAGGTGATATTTGATGTTTGGTCTCCTGCATCTGGCCATTCAGAAAAGCTGGTTATTAATGATTAGTGCATGTATGAGAGCTGTATCTGGACTAGCTCTGGTAGAAGGGTCTGGACAGCCTTTGACTGCTTGGCATTCTGTTGCCAATGAATGTTTTATTGCAGATCTGGATTTCTGAGGGGATGGTTCTTATTAATGTTTTTGGCAGACTATTGGGCTTCAAGATGGGATTACTCTTCCAGCTTAGTCCTATACCTGCCTTTTCTTTCTGCTCATAGCATGGTCGGGAGTATGAAGTTCTGTATGCTGGTTTTGGAGAGGATAATTGCCAGAAAAAGGAGACTACATATAGGGATCAAGTTACATAATTACTTTTTCACCATTACATAGTTTTCCTTTGTAATTTGTTTTACAGTTACTATTTTTTTTCTTTTAACAGTACTGCTTTGCTTCTTGTAATTTCTGCCTTTTCTGGAATAAAATTTCTGTTTCCTTAAAAAAAAAAAAGGGTTTAGGGTTTAGGGTTTAGGGTTTAGGGTTTAGGGTTTAGGGTCTAGGATTTTGGGTTTTGGGTTTCGGGTTTAGGGTCTAGGGTCTAGGGTTTAGGGTGTAGGGTTTTGGGGTTTAGGGTTTAGGGTTTTGGGTTTCGGATTTCGGGTTTAGGGTTTCAGGTTTAGGGTTTAGGGTTTAGGGGTTAGGGGTTAGGGGTTAGGGTTAGGGGTTAGGGGTTTCGGGTTTCGGGTTTCGGGTTTCGGGTTTCGGGTTTAGGGTTTAGGGTTTAGGGTTTAGGGTTTAGGGTTTAGCCTACTAATAGCTGATACATAAAGGCGCACCGAGCTAATAGCGCTGGAGCTATTTAGACCATTCCCGTCTGGAATGGAGAGAAGGGCAAGCCAACTAACCTTTATGAAACTAGCGGTGCAGGGAAGGAGAAGAAGCTACTTCACCTAGAAGACTAGTATGTGCCAAAACTCACTTCTATTTATTAGACTGGACGCTACTATACGCATATGGTAGTGTTCCTGAGATTGTCATGGAAGGAATACTACCATTCTTCGCCTCCATCAAAGATGGTGGATCGTTATGTCTAAACTTCTTGGCGCCTCCCCTTACTGACTAAGGCTAAGGTGGTGTCAATCAAGGTTCTCACATGAATAGATGTTTGAATATTCGCTTAGTACTTTCACCTTCGATCACTCGAATTCGTCGTTCACCTTCTCAACAAAGCCTACTCGAACTTCTCCTTGCCACCATACCTGAATGAAAGAAATGAATAGCTAGAAAAATAGGCTATTCCATTATTGGCTTAAGATGAACCGAGGAATCCAACCAAATAGGAATGAATAGCTATATATAAGGAGAACTGCATGCATTGATTCAATTGATTGGAAGCGACGGTTTATACATACAGACATAGTTTTCACTAGGAGTTTTTTCTGTCATGAGGGTTGGTCGAAGCAACCTCACCAGAAAGCCACTCTTCCAGAGTCTCGTCCATCGTCTACTTAGGTGACTATTTAATAGCCTTTAGCTTTGCCTGTGAGTTAGGCTACTCTACTATAGGCTCCTTTATCTATTTTTTTAAGAAAAACTCAACCTGGTTTCAATGAATCCCCAAAGAAGCCATGACCTATTTGATCCTTCAGCCTTCAGCATTGAGTCAAGAAAAGAAGAATTGGATCCGGGTGGAATCTTCACTTTCATAAACAGGAGTTGGAGTTTAGGAGTCGGGTGTAGATGCTGGTCATTCCATAGATGAAAGACCCGCTGAACCACTAGTGATTTTCTAAGGGGAGTTGGTAAAAGACAACAGGTTCAAGACAAAGCGCACGGAGATGGAGCGAAAACACAAGGCCAGTTCTCATCAACTAAGAGCTCCACTCCAAGAGAGGGAAAATAGCACAATCCGTGAGACCTATGAATGCTTTGAATGAGATCTATTAGGCCTTTGACTATTCCAAATCCATATAGAACAGTAGAGTCGAAGAGAAAACACCTTTGATTTCCTTAAAGAAGGAATCCACTGCGCCTTCATCAACCAAATGGGAATCCAGGTGAGAGTCGTGACCGGGTACGAACGATGGGGCATCGAGTTCTAGAAGTCTCATGTTCGGAATGTAGGAGAGCTTGGCTTGGGGATGACCTAAGAGATTTTTGATTAACCAACACGTAGCATGCGTTGGAAGGATGGATTAGGTCAACATACTACGAGTGGCGATTTCCTAATCAAGATTCCCGTGGGCCGATGGGCTTATGTACCTGATATTCATCTTAGTTCGTTTGTTTTTTACCTACTACTACTCCTGTTGCCTTTGATTGTGCCGAAAAGGGTGCCTGTTGCTTGTGGCAAGCGGGACAAAGGTCAGAGCCTGTTCAAATAAAAAGATTCCTGCCTCCTTCTCCAGTTGCTAAAAAGAGTGACGAAAGAAAGCGTTCAAAAGCGAGGAAAGAAGAGGATCTCTGTTGAGTTACCAGAGAAGAAGGTATAGTTACAAAGAGCATAGCGGATCGGAGGTTGAAGAGATCGAAGACGGAAGAGAACAAGAGCAGTGTTGGTTTTAGAGAGATGTTTTCTTTTTCAGAGCAGAAGTCAATATCAATTTAGAGACCGGGGTCAATTAGTCACCAGAGATCAGGGGTAAGGGACGAAAGTGACGGTTCAGGTTGTGCCGGTGCCGATTCCTATACTGACAAATGATTCAACAAGCTGTCTCACTTGCAAAGCTAATATAGCCCGCACGTCGAAGGGGAAGCTTCGAGAGAAGCGGGAACGTTCCGCTTTATATGAGTGGAACAAGTTACCAGCTTTTAGCTATTTAATAGCATCTGTTCTCTCGATGCTTATTGCTAAAAATGAGCTAGAACTTTGACGACAAATTGGATAGGGACCTTTGATGCCTTGAGTTGATTAGATGCGGTTATAGCGCGTTTTAAAGAGTGTCGTCTAATACCAGTGATCATAGATCGAAGAGGGGATAGTGACCAGGCAGACGAGAGGGACTTTGAAAAGTAAAGCTGACTTGATCTTTCGATTTCGATTGCTTAGCTTGAGAAGGGAAAGAGACAGAGGGGCTAGTTTCCATAGACCAGTGAGTAAAGTTGACTCGATTGTGACCAATGACCCGAGGTAATGCGGAGTGAGTTTACTGCCTTTCCAGTCCCAGTTGTTCCAAGAATGCCCGTTGCCCATTCTTCATATGAAACAGAGCGGGTTGTCAGTGATGGTTGTGCCTGTGCCCTTTGGAAGGAGAAAATACATTTTGAAAGTCCTATGTCTTTCAAGAAATGAGTCTAGCTGCAAGGAGAAATAGACTACTTTAGTGAAGTCTGACATCTATTCGTTTGAACGAATCTAGTGATAGTCCTTCCTTGGCTTCTACTTGAGATTGGTTTGGTCAAGGTCGAGATTTTCTTGGTCTTCTTTTCTTTGTACCCATAGATCGGAGAATGTGAAAAGCTTTCTCTATCCGCTAGGTGCATCTCTTCCTTAACTCTTGTTGAGTAAGATGTTCTTCTTCTCTTATGAAAATCACATCTTTTTCTTTATTGACTTCTTTCTTCCAGTGGACGGGCTCTCTTGCTCTGTTCCCTTTCTCTCTTTTGTCGAGTCTGTCTTATTCCTTATTCTGAGGGCTTTGTTTATTAACTTGCTTAATGCATAGTGGATCAAGAGAAGACTATTGAAGTGCTTGCATGCTTTCTTTAAGCTTGCTTTGGTACCGGACTACTTTAATTCATCAATAAGACTTTCGAAACACAACTCTATAACTTGGTGTTGGCCTACCAGACTACTACTAGCTTGAATTTGCTCAGTGCGTGCTTGGTGTTTTCTTTATGAAATAACATACTTTTAAATAAAATAACTAGCTTACATCAGCCTCTTTCTGACCCTCGCTCCCTCTCGCCTTGCTTTCTAATCACCACTAGCTTGAATGAGGATACTCTTTCTGAACTACTAGCTTTCTTAACTCCCTTTCTAAGTGGGTTAGGGCAGTCTGTCTTATGGATCGGGAGCTAACGCTTCATTACTTGCCTTACGGGACTTTTTTCGCTTTCTATATGGCCGTCACGGTCTGTATTGATTCTATTTCATACTTGATAAAGACAACTAGCATTAAAGAGCTTAGTAGTCGTCTCGCGTTGGTCTGGTCTCCCTTTCTTTTAAGTTTTAGGATCTTCTTAAAGAGTCATACCAAAGTCTTACAGTATTCTTAATACTATTTTGTTTGAACAAAACAACTATAAGTACTTTCTTGATTTGGTAAGGTATGAGAGCAGAAGGTTATTCTTTTCTCGATGGAATCCTGGAGAATCACAACTAGACAAGAGAATTAGTGCTAGCCTTACCTCCATAGATATTTCTCTGCAGTCTCGATTTTGATGATTTAACTTATCCTTGTGAGTTAGCCCGGTAACTAGATTGACTCTCCCCAAGCAAGAGTTTCCTATGTAGTTGGAAGGGGGCTGGTGGCTAAGCTTTGCCTCAACTCAACGGGAACAACAATTGACAAATCGGTGATAAACATGGACTGTCACACACTTGATTTAGGGTTTAGGGTTGAGGGTTTTGGATTTAGGGTTTAGGATTCAAGGTTTTAGGGTTTAGGATTTAGGGTTTAGGGTTGAGGGTTCAAGGTTTTAGGGTTCAAGGTTTTAGGGTTTAGGGTTTAGGGTTTAGGGTTTAGGGGTTGGGGTTTAGGGTTTCGGGTTTAGGGTTTAGGGTTTAGGGTTTTAGGGTTTTAGGGTTTATGATTTAGGGTTTTAGGGTTTAGGTTTTTAGGGTTTAGGTTTTAGGGTTTAGGGTTTTAGGGTTTAGGGTTTAGGGTTTTAGGGTTTATGGTTTAGGGTTTTAGGGTTTAGGGTTATATGGTTTTGGGTTTAGGGGTTAGGGGTTTAGGGGTTTAGGGTTTAGGGTTTAGGTTTAGGGTTTTAGTAGGAGGAGGCAGTTATTTCATTCTAG